AGGGCGCCTCGACTTGCTGGTAATGGGTATGACCTCCGTTTGTCCAACCGAGCTTTGGTTTGTGAGTAATTGAAGAATTTCAAATTCGGGTGTAATGTTGAAAACGCGAAAATCAACCTATTTTGAGCCGATTTTTGCCAACCAAGCTCTGATACCAGATGTTAGGATCTTCCTCTAGCTGCTCAAGGTGATTTCCGGGCTCAATTAACCTTTAAACACCGAATCAACACTAAAAAATTGAAGAGACCAACCTCCGGCGCTGCTTGCTCCCTATGGTTGCTATTCTTCCTTTTGCTTGTTGTTTCCTCACTCACTTAGGATGAATACCACACAGGTAAGGGTCACAAAGACACAAGCAAGAGGTAGAGAAGATCAATCAATAGGATGCACGAAGGAGAAGAAGAAGGTAGCCACTCTCTCTCTCTCTCGGGTTCTATAAAAAACTGGACAAGTAGGAAGAAAGAGAGTTACCAATATATATAATAGTTCAATGACAAACTTAAGGTAAGTTATACGTATGGTAATTAGGCTCGACTAGGGTTATGGCCAAATAGCACACCAACAAGTCACAAAGGTTTATTAGCCATCCAATAAGTAAAACAACGTTAAGTCGGGTCATCCCATTATTCGGTGTTGATTTATCGTTCAGTCATTCATGTCGACTGATAAAACTGGTTTTCATCATCGCCCGGGAGGTCGTTTGACAATAGATGTCTAACAAATCATATATGCTTGCAGGATTTTACGACAAGCTTTACCAATAGTTTTCGAAGGAGTTGGTAAAATTGTAAGCACCTTTACTTTATCTTCATCGAAGCGAAGATATTGTTGCTTTGGCAATTTAGGTGCATACACTGGGGCTTTCCCTTTATCTTTACGTTTTTCTATATATCTTTCTTTCTTTCTTTATTTTTTCTTTTGTTCTCAATCTTATTATTTTGTTGGATTTCAGTTTGTATCAAGTTTACCGGCTAGGAGTAAGTGGCAGGATTTTTGTTGTGAACATCTCTCCAGAAATGAGTCTCCATTAGTTATCCACTCTATAATGCGTCCCTGGACTTCTCGTTAGATATTGTTTTGCAAGCTATGAGTTCTGCAGTTAATTGTGCAAAGAAACTCTTGAGAGACTCTCCTTTCTCATATCATTCAGCCTCATGGCTACTTCCTTCCCTAGCCTTCTTCTTGCGAAAGCTCATAGGGACACGGGACACCTACTTTAATTGTGGCCAACTTCTAAAAGAACCCAATGGTAACTTGCTATACCCTCTCTTTGCAGATCCATCAAATGTTAAGTGGAAACTTTGGCACTTAAGCGTGGGGCTTGCCTTCTTCAGCCTCATCTAAGTCATGTACTCATATAAGTGGTACGTCAGATTGCCTTTTCCACTATCCTTTATTGTGTGATGGATGAAGTTATCTAGAATTGGATCATCTTTAGGGTCTGTTCAGTAGTGATTATTAGAATTGATTTTTTTACCATTAGAGAGAAAAGTGGGTCCCACATGTGAATGAAAAAATAAAAAAATAATGATTGGAATAGTGAAATAACGATCAAACAATTATTTTTTGGGGGTGAAAAATTGCTATCAAACGAGGGTTTAATCTCTTTTGAGAATGGCAAGCCTTTGTCATCATAGTCTAGTTCACATGATCTTGCTGGTTGATTCTCATATTCCTCATACATAGGAACAAAATCTGAGGAATTGCTTAGGCTTTATGCCCTTCTACCTTCTCGATGCCAACCCTGTTGCCGTGAGAATTGATTTCTTTTGCGAGCTTATCAAATGTGCTAGATCTTTTCATTCAGCGATCTATTCGTCACGTATCAAGGAAACTATTGTAAGTGTCATGAAAATCTCTCTAGAAATCTTGATTTCGGGCTCAGAAAAACTACCGAACAAACACCATATCCACCAAGGCTCGACCTAAAACATTCCTCTACTTTGGTTGCTCCAAGATTTACATCCACAAAGGATGGTGGTGGTGGTGATTTGCAAGCCACAAAGGCAAGAAAAAACAAAGAGGTAGCAATGGTAATCACTCAACCAAGAAACGGCTCCCTCATTATGTTTTTCTTTCTTCAAAGTACACATATACACCACACGGCTGGGAGGAAATGGATATATAATGGATTAGTCTAGGTTAATAAATGGGCCAAAGGGTAACTGGGCCAACATTCCAAATAACCAATATATCATCACCAATACAAAGCCACAACTTGGGCCATCCAAAAGTGTTGGACCAAGAACAATATTAATCCAATTAAGTTGCTTCAAAAGTTGTTTCCAAGTCGAGCCATCACTGAAGTGTCGATTTAACTTATCCAACATTGGTTTAACATCATCATCCAGGATAAATAGGTATCAAAACCCAACAGTAAGTTTTTGATAGCTGAATGTTGCTGTTATTCTCACAGAAAAAACTTGCTCTGGGATCTACATTGTTTTCACCAAATATTACGTGTAGATCCACTTCTGAAAGGTTTTTGCCATAGATAATTTGTTCTGTTGACGACAGCATTGAGCGGAATTAAGAGCTGTTTGCAGATTCACTGGAGTTTCTTCCGCTGCAGTTCCAGGTTCATGTTGCTGTTTGCTAGACCATCACTTTGTACCTCAACTCAGATTCCTAAAACATTCATTTCCTCCTGATTCAGCTCGACTCACTTATTTTGTCACATGTTCACATTTTATTCATTCATTAGTTTTGAAGTCATGCTTTGTAAATATGTTCATGTGCGTTGTTTTGAAGTCCTGCTTTAGACGTTTTCACATCTGCCTTGATAATGGTTTCTACCAACATGAAATATTATGGAAACAGCTCCCCACCCTTAGTTGGGGCTCTTGCACTTCATGAATACTTTGCTTGCGTAGTTGGGCACACATAAATTAATATGAGTTTGCTTGCTTATTCCACTTTTATTCCTCATTTAACAGTGCACCTTCTTGACTCTTGATGGCAAAAATTGTTAAATTCCAATATTTTACTAGTCTCGGTAAAAGAAAATTGGCGCCAGCCACTTGAGACTAGTGGAATACAATGGGTTAGTTGTAACATGCCAAAGCGTTATTAAATATGTTCAAAATTTTATGTCCAAGATGCAGTCTCAAACCATGTCGAATAGCATGGCTGCTGTATTATATTGCCAAGTTCCACTATGAAAATAATGTTATTTATCATCAATTTTCATCCTTATATCTCGATGACACTGAACTTCTTAATTTATTTTTAAACGAAATCGTGATACATTTTAATATATTGAACCAAGAATCAATAAGTCGACTATGATAATAATCATCACTTATTACAAATAAGTATGGAAATGTCATAGACCCTACCAAACAAATAATTAAAGCAATGAAAAGTATTGTTCAAATAAAAGACATTAAAGAAATCCTTTAATTCAATGGAGGACAAGTGATAATATATATTATAATGTTGTTCAATATTGAATAATTGTAGTTTTATTAGACTTGTCCTTTGGCGTTTTCCTTCACATTTTCATTTTTAAATTAGGAATTATTCATATAATCAGTTTAGATTATGACTAAATAAAAATAAGTGATTGTTAAGCGAATAGTATGGATGGATTTCACAACATATGTGAATAAAAAGTTATTTAATCAACTTGTTTATAATTAAAACAACTGGCATACAAGGGCATACATCTCTTATATTGATTATAATCAAGAATTGATTTTTTGGCTTGAAAAAAGAAATAGTAATTTCAAAACAATAATGTTTTCAAGAAGAAAAATATATTTTATAGGGTAACCTTCACTTGCAGTCAATGGACATTTAGAAAAAATTCAATTAATTTGTTGAATTTTATTTTTTCTTAATTGAGTTATTGAAGTTCAATTTTCTTTTAAAATTCATTACCATCATATTATGCCATCCATCGTCTTCCAAAATGTTGAAAATCGATTAGATTGAACTTGGTAGCCATCTACAATTGGTATTCCACGTAAGGACTAAGCAGCACCATAAACATGAAATTTAGTAAAACGACAATTATATTAGTGTCTATGCATAGATTACAAAGTTAAAAGACACTCTTTCAAACATTCATGACATGACATGTTGATAAAGTTTACATGTCGCACACAACGTATCATCAGTGAAAACTCATTACAAGGGGCATTTGCAAAAATGTCCAATTTTATATGCATCAATTTAAAAATATCCACTTTTGATAACCTTTGTAAAAATTGCCAAATATGATATCAAATTCTCTATTTTATCCTTAATGAAAGAATAAATAATTTCATATTGCACATGTCAAATCACAATTAATGTTAGACGCAGAAATGTCGAGAACAATATTTAAAATATACAGAAATGTCAAATTCAGAATGAAATGTTATTCTAGACATTTATATGTCTCGAACAACGTTTGAAAATGTTGAGAACATTTAATATTGTAATTTGACATGTGTACTTTTGAAATATGAACGGATTCAAATATCGAGAACAACATTTGAAATATCGAGAACATCATTTCAATGTAGCTTTTCATGGAAGCTATTTAGAGGTACTCTCGTCTAAATAATTGTAAAAATGGACATTGAAAAATTTTGAACATTTTTGCAAATGACTATGTCAAAATGAACATTTTTTTGTAATTTCCTCTCCTTACAATATAGCTGTTAATTAAATAATTGCCATTAATTTTGAATAGACAAGTAATAGTGTTGAATTCAATTGAAATTAAATTAATATAAATTATACTAGTAAAAGCATCTAATTTGTCTCCTGACATTGACAATGTTCTTATTTTTATCATTCAGCAGAGTGACGAATTTGACTGTAATGTTGCTAGTCAAGTCCATAACTGAGCGCATTCCACGAAACATCCAAAATGAGGAATAAGCAAGAGACCCTATAAATCCAGACTTGAGCTTCCATTTCAACCATCACCAATCTCTTCTTCTTCGATTGGCCTAAATTGAACAGAAACGATCGTAATTCACAATTGAAGCTGCAACAGAATTAGTAAAATGGATGTCAAACAACAATCTGTGATTCAAGTGCCACAAAAGCTTTCTACTAAAAAATGTGATTCCTCCTCAAATGCCCTTCCTCTACCTCTATACCTTGCTAACGCAGTTTTCTTCACCCTTTTTTTCTCCACCGTCTACTATCTACTCCTCCGATGGCGTGAAAAGATCCGAAACTCAGCCCCTCCACAAGTCCTCACCCTCTCAGAAATTGGTGCTGTCGTTGCCTTTGTTGTCTCCTTCGTCTATCTCTTGGGCTTCTTTGGCATCAGCTTTGTCCAGTCCTTGATCATTCCCCGTGTTTCCAACGACATTTTGAATGAACTGGAGGAAATTGACCAGTTGATGCACAAGGAGGATTCCCGTGCCGCTCCCTGTGCTGCTGCCACATCGCTATCTGATTGCCAAGTTGCTTCTCCCAAGTCTAAATCCAAACTACACAAGATTGATGCTGCTGATCAATTGCCCCTATCGTCGGAGGTGGACGAGGAGATCATCGAGTGCGTGGTGGAGGGCAAGACCCCTTCTTATTCTCTCGAGTCCAAGCTTGGTAATACCCTCCGTGCCGCAGCAATTCGGCGTGAGGCATTGCAGAGGATCAGTGGAAAGTCCCTTGCTGGGCTGCCCTTGGAGGGCTTTGATTACGACACCATACTAGGACAGTGCTGTGAGATGCCAGTGGGTTACGTTCAGATTCCAGTAGGCATCGCCGGGCCTTTGTTGCTTGATGGCAGGGAATTCTCGGTTCCCATGGCCACCACGGAGGGCTGCCTGGTTGCCAGCACCAACAGGGGATGCAAGGCCATCTATGTATCTGGCGGGGCCTCTAGTGTGGTCTTAAGGGATGCGATGACCAGGGCTCCCGTGGTCAGGTTCGGCACTGCTAAGCACGCTGCTGAGTTGAAGTTCTTCCTCGAGGACTCTCTCAATTTCGAGGCCTTGTCACTTGTTTTCAATAGTTCCAGCAGATTTGCCAGGCTTCAGAGCATCAAGTGTGCGATTGCTGGCAAGAATCTCTACATCAGGTTCTCCTGCAGTACAGGGGATGCAATGGGCATGAACATGGTCTCTAAGGGTGTGCAGAATGTGATGGACTTCCTTCACAAGGAATTTCCGGACATGGATGTTATTGGCATCTCTGGTAATCAGACATTCACTTTCCTCCTCTTTTGTTCTCTCTTCAACAGTTTCTAGTATTCTCAAGTTAAACAAGCTTATAAAATTTGTTGACATGCTAAATTCATTATATTGTGCATTTCAGGAAACTACTGTTCAGACAAGAAACCGGCTGCTGTGAATTGGATTGAAGGTCGGGGTAAATCAGTTGTTTGTGAGGCTATCATCAAGGAAGATGTGGTGAAGAAGGTCCTCAAGACTGATGTTGAGTCCTTGGTGGAGCTCAACATGCTCAAGAACCTTACTGGTTCTGCTATTGCTGGAGCTTTGGGTGGCTTCAACGCCCATGCCAGCAATATTGTCTCTGCTATATTTATTGCCACTGGCCAAGATCCCGCACAAAATGTTGAGAGTTCTCACTGCATCACCATGATGGAAGCTGTCAATGATGGAAAGGACCTTCACATCTCTGTCACAATGCCTTCTATTGAGGTAAATTTCATTGCTGAATCATCTTCTAAGATAATGGTTGTCTTTGGTGCGACTACCAACTTAAAGAAAAAAAAGAAGCAAAAAGAGAGATCTGCTGTTAATTTTGCTATTGTTGAGTTCTTTCAGGTCGGTACAGTTGGAGGTGGGACACAACTGACCTCTCAATCAGCTTGCCTGAACTTGCTTGGAGTAAAGGGAGCCAGTAAAGAGGCTCCAGGATCAAACTCAAGGCAGTTAGCTACCATTGTAGCTGGGGCCGTTCTTGCTGGAGAGCTCTCTCTCATGTCAGCACTTGCTGCTGGCCAACTCGTCAAGAGCCATATGAAGTACAACAGGTCCAATAAGGATGCGTCTAAGACTTCATCTTGAGGTTCCTATCCCTGAATAAGTTATGGCTGATGAACGGGGCAGACTGCACATATATTGTTATCAAAACAGTGAAAGTTCTAACGCACATTTTCGTTCTTGCTAAATTCATGTGTTGGGTAAAACTAAAATTGCAAGAGATTGGATTAGAGTCTTCCTTTGTTTATTGTACTATTCTTTTGTACACTTCATAGATTTACATTTGTGAAGGATGTATTGACCACCAAGGTATACCCAGGCTTAGTTATTCACCAACTACACCACAATTAATTAACCAATCGACCCAAGACATACAAAGCCTCCCACTTTTCATTGCCAAGAGATCACACACTTAGGAGACCACAAAGGCAAGTAATAACTCAATGACAATTACCACAAACAGAAGTACGGGAGAAAGTGAGAGGCAGAGAAGTAGAAGAAGCAAAAGCCGAAAATCTCACACAGAGAAGTAAAAGGGGCACACGGTCATATGGAAAAGGGTAGGAGACCCAATTATATTCGGACAAAAGGCCCAAGTAAGGTAAGTTACACTAGGGTAGCAAATGGGTCAAGTAAAGGCCCAATTACTAGACAAACGGGCTACCAAGTGAAACCTCACATTTTTGGCCATCCAAGAAAGTGGGTTAGACCATGAGCAACTCTAAAATATTTAGATTGTTTCAAATGGCCCAATTAAACTTTGGATCGTGTCATCTCGATTGTGGTGCTACGATTTTGTTCAGTCATTTAGCCAAGCCGATTGAAGATTGAAAAATCAAATTATCATCACAGTCCGAGGAGGTCGTTTGACAACAAATTTCCTAAGAACCTCCCTCTTGATGTCAAAGGACCTGCAAAGAAAAACATCTCTTTTTAGTAACACCTCTAACAAAGAACCAATAAAAATTGGAAATCATTTACCTATAACGATATTTAGAAGATCCTTATAACTTCTAAATTTTACCAATGGTAGCACTTTCGTGCCCATATCTGAAGGGTTGTATTGTGTATGAACTATTTCGTATCTTGCCACCTCTTGTGATACTATATCTATAATGAAATGTAGTCTAACATCAATGTGTTTAATGCATTCGTGAAAAACAAGGTTCTTGCATAAATGTATAGAGGACTCACTATCGGAATACACTACCACATAATCATTCAAGACACATAATTCATGAAGTAGACCTCTAAACTACAAAGCCTCTTTAATTGCTTCAGTATAGTAATGTATTCTAACTCTGTTGTGAAAAGTGCAACAATGTGTTGTAACTATGATTTCTAACTAACATAAGAATTAGATAAGGCAAACACATAAAAGGAAGTTAATTTCCTACCATCCCTATCCCTTACATTGTCAGCATCTACGAAACCCTTCAATTTTGCACCTTCCTTACTAGTGCTAAACTTTAGACCTACGTCACTAGAACCTTTCAAGTACATAAGCAACCAATTTAAGGTTTCCCAATGTTCAGGACTCGAATTATACATGTACCTATTGAGAGTACTAATAGCAAAAGCTAAATCAGGTCTAGTGCAAACCATCAAATACATTATAGAACCAATCACATTAGAATACGGGGCTCTATTCATGTATTCTATTTCACGCTCATTGCAAAGAGCTTGATCCTTAGACAATGCAAAGTGATTAGCTAGAGAAAATGTGACAGGTTTGCAATAGTTCATAACAATTGTCTTCAAAAATTTGGATATATGTAGACTGATGCAAAAACAAAGCAAAATTTAACATATCTCTTTTGATTTCCATGCCTAGAATTCTCTTAGCCTTGTGTAGGTCTTTCATGTAAAATTCATCACTTAACTTTGCTTTTATATTGTTTATCCACTTAGGTGATGAATCAATCAAAAGCATGTCTTTCACATAGAGCAACAAAAACAAATAATTATTATCAACCTCCTTGTTTTGAAAATACAGACAGTGATCAAACTTACTTCTTTGGAACCTTTAGTGAGTACAAAATAGTCAAATCTCTTGTACTACTATCTAGGTGACTATCTCAAACCATACAAAGACCTTTTAAGAAAACACATATGATGAGGTTTTAGCTTATCCTTAAAATATTTTGGTTGATTCATAAAGATTTGTTCGTCAAGCTTACCATGTAAAACAACATTTTTTACATCAAATTGTTCAAGTTCTGGGGTCAAAATGCATAACCAATGCAAGCATAACTCTAATAGTAGTGTACTTAACAACTGGTGCGAAAATCTCATTATAATCAACACCCTCCTTTTGTGTGTAGCCCTTAGCCACTAACTTAGCCTTAAATCTTAAGGGTTCTGAGCTGGTACCTTCTATAAACTTAAAGAGCTATTTGTAATTGATGGTCAATTTATTTTTAGATCTAGTACTAGCTCCCATGTCTGATTCTTTTATAGAGAACTCATCTCCTCTTTTATTACCTTAAACCACTCTTTGGATTGTTCACTATTCGTCGCCTCCTCAAAGGTTTTTGGCTTCCTTTCAACTAGCTCTTCGTAACTAGTATGGGGGAAAGCTAACTCAGATTCATATCCAAATCTCCTAGGCTCTCTCGTTTGTCTCATCTCTCTATCCCCAACTAAGTTGTAGTTTGCTAAAGGATTTTCTTTCTCAGTGTGATCCTCTATCACTACTTCGTTTCTATTCTCCACCTTAGGTTCCTGAACCTAAGTCTCTACCTCATTTGGAGTGGTACGGACAGATGTACTAAGTTTTCCTAACTCCACCTTAAACCGATCTCTCTCTTCTCTTGGTTTAGTTTCACTCACATGTTCGAGTTCACACTTAAGGCAAAGCATCTCATCCTCGTTAAAAAGTGATATCCCTACTCATGATGATCTTAATCCCCTTTTGGCTTCTATTTCATAACCTGTAACCCTTAACACCCTCAGGCTATCCTTAAAAAACACTCTAGATCTAGGTTCAAGTTTTCCCTCACTTTGATGGGAAAAAGTAGCACAACCAAAGGTTCTAAATATAGAATAGTCACTAATTTTCCAGACCATCTTTCATGAGAAGTATCACCATTAACAGTAGCAGATGGAATCAAATTAATCAAATAATAAATAGTCATAATAGCTTCACCCCGAAATGACTTCGAAACACTAGAACTTAACATCATGCAACGCACTTCATCAACTATGATTCTATTCATCCTTCCACTATCCCATTTTGTTGGGCAGTGTAAGGAACAGTTTTATGCCTTATTATTCCACTTTCTTTACACATACTATCAAATTCAGTGTTACAAAACTCTAGGCTATTATCTGTCTTTAAAAAGTTAATCTTTTTGCCAATTTGGTTTTTCACTTATCTTTTTTAGTTATTAAAGTCGTAGAAAGTGTCAGATTAACCCTTTAGAAGATAAACTTACACTTTCCTAGTGTAGTCATCAATAATAGACAAGAAATACTTATTTCCCACCCGATTTGGGATTGTTAGCAGGACCTACAAATCAGAATATGTATATTTAAGCATGCATTTAGCTTTATGAACACTAGTGGAGAAAGTGTTTTATGATGCTTACCAAGTACGCAATGATCACAGAATGACATATCAGACATGCAGTCATTACCAAATGCACATTTTTTGTTAAGAAGCTTAAATCCCTTAATGCCTACGTATGCAAACCTGTTATGCCACGTATGTATATGATCAACCTTGGCAGAAGAGATAGAGAAGTTTAAACCTCTAATCACTTCTCCAATAGTGATATGAATTTCATTTTCTTATTTCCTTAATAGAGACTGATGCATCATTAACCACCTTTAACATTCCATTTCCAATTTTACCTATGAAGTCATCTTTTTTAAGTCTTCGTATTGAAATCAAATTCCTGGATAGTTCATAAATGTATCTAACATCATTTAAGGTGTACACAAAACCAGTGTCAAACTTTATATTAATGTCACCAATTCCAGCAATCGTATAGGCAAAGTTATCACACAACACAACATGCCCAATATTTGATTCTTGCAAATTTTCAAATGTCACATGAAAAGGTGCACTAGAATCAATCTACTCATACATGCAGGAGTTAGTAGTTAGATTAGTTCAGCAGCATACGCAATAGGACTTTTAATCATATAAATCTCACAGTCCTCTGTATCGAAAGCAAAAGACAACACGTTGACCTTGTTTCTCTCGTTAACCTTTAGCTTATCCTTCTTCTTATAACAATCTTTTATAAAATGCCTTGTACTTCCACAGCCATAGCATTTTCTAACCTTCGTTCTAGATTTTGATCTAGACCTAACCTTGCATTTCTTCTTTCATCCATTACTACTTGACCCACTACTGCTTTGATATCCATCATGACTATTTTATCTAAACTGAGTTCTACCCCGCATCATATATAACTCACCGCTTTTCTTATCATGCTTTTCAGCTCTATTTTCCAATTCCTTATTTCTAAGAGAATCTATGACAATTTCAGACGTCAATGTGTTCCTACTATACTTAATGGTGTTTTTAACTTCCTTATATGAGCCAAGAATAAAATTGAGCAAGATTATAGCCTTAATAGGTTTCAGACATAGCCTCATTACAATTAACAATATCTTACACTAATTTGTTAAGCACGTCTAAATTGTCATCGAGATCCTTTGAAAGATCCATTTTAAGTTGAAAAAACATTCAAGTAGATAAAGCATGTTCAGGATAGATTTGAGCAAATACAGAGCTGCCAATTTTTTCCAAAGTTTATTGGTAGTTTTCAGTTTACTCACATTTCTTTAAACGACGTTAGATAAATGTAAAATGATTGAGGTATAAGCAAACTCATCGCCATTTTCCTTTTGTTCTTTTGAAAAATCAGTTTGAAAATTGCCTTCAATTGCTTTTGAAACTTTTTGTTGAACCAAAATACCCTTCATTTTTTGTTGTCTGAAAAATCACCATTTTCCATTAAAAATCCTCAAATCAGAGTTGTGAGTCGTTATGTTTACAGAACAGCCAAAAATGCACAAAACACAATCGAACCACACAAAGTAGTCCCAGGGTCACAAACAATATAATCCGTTCTAAATTCTCCGGGTTTCGTAAGACTCGTGATCTTAGATTAAGGAAATGTTTGAATGAGTAAGGTCTCGATATTCTAGTGGAATTAGTAAGCAGCGAAAATAACAATGCAAGAAAGATATATATGTCCACCAGATACTAAGTTTCACGACAATTATAGCACATAGAATAATACTGTGATTTAACGAGAACAAGTACTTAATCAAACAACTAAGAGCAAGTAATCCTA